AGGTTAACTTCACAATAAGGGATTGTTGCTGGTCGTTGTGAGGGAGATTCTATGTAGGGGATTAGCACGGCACCATTCCCAGCTTATAATTTGGCTCGCTAAAATCGTGTAAGGTTCTATGTATCTGGGAAAATTGAGCATCCAGGGATGCCTTTAATTCCACCGCCGACGACTTCCTTCTGGAATCTTAAGAAAATTGCAATTTGCGTGCTCCCTTATCGGATCCGAGGAGGAACATTTGCCTTTATTGACTCCATATTTCTTTATTTTGTGACTGCGTTGCACTTTACGGCTGCCAGCGGGCAGAACGGACGGGTTTTATACGATTTTCTTGTCATTCGGCCTGGTTTATGTCCTCCTCGTATGCATGCGAGTATTTCCCAGCCGTACGTGTGTTTGCTTTATGGGGGAAACACAATCATGCATATTTCCCAGGCCTCCAATGTACATATTTTGGTCGAGTTTACGCACTTTATTAACATATACTCAGTCGAAAGGACGACTTGGAGTCGTCGGCGACGTGGGAGGGATGTGCCACATCACATAAAAAATGAATCTGCTGGTTGCTCGCTCCTCGGAATTTAATATAAAAGGCACAATGATAATATTATAAAATGCTTAAACAGAATATTGAAATGAGCGCAAGGAAACGATTCACTTTATTGCGAAATTCCCAGCTTACGAGCGGGTTGGCAGATGATGTCCCATTCAATCATTTTCGTCTTCCGTCTCTGGAAAGCACATAAGTCGGTATAATTGACGCATGAAGGTCAGCACAAGTCAAGATCCTGACTTTGAGGCATTGAACCCTACTCAAGTCACCCGGACACTCGCATCCATTTCATCAGATTCAAAGGCTTAAGGAGCTTTGAAATACTTGCATCATGTCTCGCTGCATTCAGCTGGACTTTAATTAACTGCATGCATCATAAAGATGAGATGAGAAAATACATTTTGCAGTTTAATTAAAATTTCAGAGCATAGACCAAGACACTTCGCAAATGCAAAAAGCAAACAAACCTTGGAGTAAACAAGCCGGAGCCATGGCGAAATAACTGGGTAACGTTGGCATCGATGATATTTCTGGCGAACTGAGGGCCACGCAGAGTGTCAATAACAATTTACACTTGAGACGATATCTCAATATTGTTGCACGCCAGCAACAGGACAACAAAAGCAATCAACTGGATGCTGGGATGTCGAGAGCAACAGGATGACAGGACAAAGGGACAACCGGCCAACTGAACAACTGAACAACTAGACACAATGCCGCTGACGGTTGCGATGTGGGGGTCACTACTTGTTTATTTAGCCGGCAACACGCAGCTTCCACCCCAAGTGCCCAGGATAACCAACCACGGAGCCATCTGTCGCCACCAGTCAGCGCCACGTCCCGTTGTTTTTTTATTTTTTTCAGATCCCATTCTCAAGGCAGTCCTCCAAATCAAGGTAAACAACACGAGAGGCATCAGGAGAACATGGTATCAGCCATCAAACAGCAGAGATTAGCAGCTGTCTAAATAATTCCATCATGCAGAACTTCGCGGAGAGTAAACATCTGGTCACCTTTCCAGAGGAAATATAAAATATAGAGTGAAATGGGCAACGTGATTATGATTATTTGCAGCCTTAAATCAAATACCTACACTTTTCATGTTTGATATAATCATTACGCTGTGTGCACATCACCTCACTGGAGCGTTTTTTGTTTCAGCAGCATGGATTGCACTCAGTGAAAAAAAGTATAAGACAGTGCTTGGGGCAAGAAGTCAACTTTGGGGCAAGTCAAACAGACAGTACAAGATTTCAGCTCTCGAGCGTCGCAACACGCCCCATATCAAGGACTCGAGCAAATAGCGAGTTTCGCTGGGGGATAAGGATGATTGTGGACTGTAAGTCCTGCCCAATGAGCAGTACTCATTCGCTGGGCAAACACGATTACTTTTGAACACTTCTGCTAAGCTTTAAGTGGACACACATTTGGCCAAAATACACACGCTGCGAGTGTGGGCGGAAAGCGAATCTCTTGGAGATTCAGCCATCCAACGGGTCAACCAAATCCCAGGCCAAAGGGCTCTGGCACTCCAGCGCGAAATGGAGCAACCTCTCGAGGATCCTTTTCCGTGCAGCTCCTTGGGCATTTATGCCAATTAGCTCTTGTAAATGCTAATTAGCAGCCGGGCCAAGAGTCACAGTCGCAACGCGGAGGACAGCTGATAAATTAGCCATGAATATTCAGCGGCCACGCGCAGCGTTATTTTCCACAAAATTAAATTATACATTTTTAAGTTGCCGACCCAGAAGACCAAAATGAACGAGAGCCTATGGCTTGGCCTCTTCTCAAATTAATGTCTACACTGGCCAAAATTATAGTTTTCGTTAGTAATCCATCAAACTGTGTCCAAAGTATGTCAGCAATAATTTGCATTGCTTAGGTTCTTCTGAGAATTAGATATAGATATGGGCAAATAATTGCACATTTTCGCAAAGTGTAGAGCCCAGTCTGTATAAGCCACTCCAATATTTACCCTGTCGTCTTTGCGTTCCAGCTCCCGATTATGATGGCCCCCACCCGGCAAGTTGGCCAATCCTTTGGCAGTAGCCATTGACGAGTACATTCGCCCGGGTCGAAAGTTAGCTGGCAATGTTCCGGCAAATGTATTGCGCAAAACGGCGTGGAATTGCCTTTAAAAACGCATCAAATTATGCCGGAGGAGAGGCATCCACTCCGGAATGGAGCTGCCCCTTCAAATTAGTGCACACAAAGCCACGGCGGATGGGGAATGGAAAATGGAAAATGGGAGGTCTAGTTGGCTACTTGGCGTATTTACCAGACGCTTAACCGACTTTCCGCACGCACGGGACTCTGGAAAAATATATTGGCAGTGCGGCTGCTCCAGCTCCACTCCGCAGGCAAAAGTGCTCCACAATGGCACTCGTTCAGACAATGTTAAATGCGCGCTCGTTGCGAGCTGTCTGTCAACTTGGCTCAAGTGGCCCCAGTCCCCCAAATACCCCGATACCCCGATACCCCAATCCCCCAGCGCCACGATACCCCAATTCCCCAAGGCCCCAATCTCTGGCCAATAGCTCCTCCTCGCCAGCCAAGCCACTCGATCGATTCCCGCCTCTGACAGGGACACAATGCGGATGTGGACGCGGATGCGGCTGAGGATGCGAATGCGGATGCGGAGGGCACTTGTCGCCATCATTGACATCAATGCATCGCAGCTGGCTTTTTAGCTGTCGCTCCCAATGAGCGCCAATGAGGGGCAAAGGACTAAGGACTAAGGACGCAGAACGCAGGACGAACTGGGTGGTGTTGGCCAAACACTTTGGCATAATTTCCAGCGCATAACTAATGGGCGTGGCTAGCGCTTTTGGTACCACTCCCTGCCATCGATACCCCTTCATTCAGAGCACTGTTCCAAAAAATCACCATAGACCACGTCAAAGTCTGAAATTTCGGTTACATTTTGCAATCAGCGAACAATGGGTATAATTACATGATTGGTCCATTGAACTTGTGCAAGCCTTTAACGCATATTTCGCTCATTTCAAAATGTATATGTCGTAAATGTTCTTAATCTTATAATTTTAATGCGACAAAAGTATTTATATTAAGGATTAAGCGTTCAGCTCTGCGGACCTGATGGTATTTCCAATGAAATACACTTTGATTCGAAAACAATTCATCTGACCTGCAAATAGGCTCTATATGCTAGAGTTTTTCCCGCTGGAGATGGCGTTATGCGGCGGTATATGGAAAGCAGCTTTTACTGTCCGAGCAGGCTCAAAAACCCTTTATGCAATCTGCATACAAGCGAACAGATTTCTTTGTGCGAGAATTGATTGCATATTACGTATACGTAATGCCGCAAAAGCGCCATTTCTGCTCTCGTCCTTTTTTTTACCCAGCACACGCACAGCAGCCTCATCAATAACTAAAGCCGACAGCTTCGCCTTCCATTCGAAATGAAGGTGAAAAGTGGGCGGGGCAAGAAGGTGGTGGAGGTTGAAGTGGGCGTGGCAGCCAAGTTGTTAGCACGCTCGACTGATATTATTTTTTGCTCCTTTATGAATTATTCGCAAACGCATTGATTCGCGTTGCCAGCCAAAGGCAACTCCTTGGCGATTCGGAGGCGAAGGCGTCTTGCTGTGAAATTTTCATTTGGGTTTTATTTACGTTCAATCGAGTTTTCGCGAAATTAGCTAAGTTTAGCGTGAATTTTATTACGCCCGATGGAGGGTGGGTAGCTTTGCCGCGAGCGGGCAAACTTCTTAATTAAAAGATTTGCCCACTGATTGGGTGTTTGCCAAGGTAAACGGCAAGGTAGGAATTTATATTTAATTTGTTAAATGCATTCGAGTGCCATTGTCTGTGGTGATAATTGCCAGGGTTTGAAACTCTGCGGTTGGCTGGCCGGGCGACTGAACTGCGGTCACCAGTTGGTGACCCCGACGGATCAGAGCCACCACCCACACAATTCCTGGCCATAAATCTCATTTCATTTTTGCACTGTGAGCGCCAAATAAATTCATAGATATGAGCCGCCCGAATGACCCCAACTGACCATTCGACATTGCACTTTGAACGAATTTATTTACGGCAGTTGTTAGTTTTACGAGAGCCTCCACACAAAATGTAGCAGTGCTCTGTGCAATCCAGCACAGAGTTGAACACAGTTTGCTAATGCAATTTCGAAATTTAATTTGGGCCACAGCTCGGGAATCTCCATTTAAATCAATGTTGATGTTTGCCTTTGAGGCCATTTAAATGTGCAAGGTGAGGATGTTCATTAGACAGCGTTTGCAATTTAAGGACTTAAGTTTCATAACTAGATTACCCAAATGCACAAACGAGGCTTTAAAAACGTTTAACTAAATTTACCTACAGCTAGAATTAAAGTGTCAATAACAATATCCGATCAATGGACTTCTTCTTTTGCACTCTCTAATACCAAAGCACAGCATGTAGAGGAATTAAAAAATTAGTTGGCTTAAATGATAAGCTACATTTTATTATCCGATTCACGACTAATTTTAACAGAAACTCTTTAAAATAGCATATTAATTTTTTCGAAATTTACACCTGCATCACTTGACCCTCTTACAGCTTTTACAGTCCCGCCTTCGAAATTAATGACATGGCGTTTTCCGTCTTACAAGTATTTTAAGAGCTCTTGATTCTCAGCTGGTTAAAGTTAAACTTGCTCATGTATGTGGGTCCAAGTTTGGGACTGTGGGTTGGACTGGGTCGCCGTTTGCTGATAAAACAAAAATGAAGAATATGGGATTACAGTTTCTGACTTACAGGATGTCCCTTTCAACTTACCAAGCACTGTGGAATTGGCTTAAACTCTCGTTCGCCTCGCGCTTGTCCTTCTCTGCCTTGGTAAGGAAATGGCTGGAGCTGCGGCAGTGGCTCCTGTTCTTCAGCAAGGACCACAGTTGAGTGGTGTCCTGACAACAATGACCACCCTGTCGCACGACCTCAGCCAGCATTTTGGCCAGCAGTTGCTCCAAAACCAATTCGGCACTGGGTGGATTGTGCAAATGGGGATTCACGTAGTGCATCACCTGGTTGACAGTCCTCTCGTAATCCACGGGCAGTCCTGTATGGCGATCCATGCGAAATAGCTTCGGTATCCTGGTCCTTACCTTCGGCTTGGTCTGAACCACTGTCCGGCGCCAGATCCGCTGGCTAGGAGGCACGGATGATTGCTTTTGACAAGGACGAGTTGCCTGGAAGCGGGTCTTTAAGTAAAACTGCTGCCGCGTATCAGTTCTGGGCACTTTAACGCCCGTAATCCTTTTCTTGGCCACATTTTTGGCACGAGCTCGCTTTATGGTATGCATGATGGTCTATTTTAAAACAATTTTATATCACTAACTAATTTTGCTTTAATCTAAAGGATTGCTAAAATTCTAAATGATTGCTAGATTGAGAAAGCATACGCAAAGCCATCTGCCTACTTCAGAAGCATGAGTAATTTCTCTCCGTGTTTTTGAGGATTTATAACTACTGTTTAACTGCTCACGTTAGCTCGATGTCGGGAACATGATTACAATTGCCGGGCCAGATTTATGATTCCAGATTTCATTGCCCAGCACGCACACGACTGTTTCAGACTTGCATAAGTTGTGAGTCGATGTGGCCACAGCCCAACTTAACTTTTGAAACAATGTCAAATACAATAAACGTGTGAGTGTCGAGTGTTAACCGCATTGTTTGAATGCACTGCTGGCGAACAATGTGAATTGCACATGCAGGAGCCCAGGGATGTAACATGCAGTACACACTCGTAAGTACGCAGATACTCGTATGTGCGTATAAATTATGCGAAATACGGGCGGGGGGGCAGGCGGCCGGGCGTTCCCACAAAGTTGTCACACCCACACGAAGGCGTACAATAGCAAATAGTGGCACACTCAGCCGGATTGCAAAAGACGCTGCAGAAATAGAACAAAAGCAATATAATTAATCATCGAAGAGCAGGCCAAGCAGAAACAGCATGCTGCAAGGGCACCAGCCGCACAAACTGAAACTGAAACAGAAACAGACACAGAAACAGCATCCCGCCATCAGGATCACATTTAGAATTAGAGCCCTCCCTCGTGGCAAGCTTGGAAGGACATTTGCGGAGCAAATATTGTTGCAACATTGCTAACAACATAATTCACATTAACAGCTGGCCGAGTCGAGTGGGAAATGCTCTACTGGAGTTGTGCATTTATTTCGAATGAAAGGCGATGTATTTCAAATGAAATAATGATTACCCACATTATCATTGTTATCAGCAGTTGGATCCAAAGAAATATGAATCTTGCTCAATTTTGTTTTGCAATTTTCTAAGCTAAGCAACAGAAAACTCAAAATTTGATAAGTAAGACATTGGCAGATCTTGGCCGACATGAAGAGTGCTAATGACACACTTGCCTATGGCACGGGGGCGTGGACTAGAAGGGCGTGGCACTCGGCATTTGTTGCAGCTAGATGCAGTGCTGATACAGCCAACTATGTGCCACTGCAACACTGCGTGCAATCAATTATGCCGGATGGGTAATAGCCACTGATGCCAGACGCTCACCCACACGATGCAGTGTGCAGCTGTCAGGAGTCGGAAGACCATCATCCATGGCAGGCGAACCATAAAGATCCGATTCCCATCGATTTGGAGCACTCAGGGTCTTATCCCAGTCTAAGTTCATTTGGGGACGGACGGGTGTGCGCAACGTGAAATTGAAAAGCATGAATGTCATTTTCCATAACAAACGTCAAATTTGATTCTTTTTAAGGCAGCGAGCGCAGACAAAGCCGGTCGGGGAATTTCTATGGCCAAGGAAATGACTTCACACCTTCAACCCTCCGCAAAGTTAGAGAGAATGGAATGGATCAAATATAGATTTATGTGTTTCATGTCAAAATAAATGGATTTTACATGTTGCCACAAAGCGTTCCTTGCTCGCTCGCCGACTGAATCCTTGCGTCGCAGGACGTGAGGGCGCAGCGCCAGGACGATGTTGGCGACAACAACAAGGACAACAAGGGCGGTGACAAACAGCAACAACAATGAAAATATAACGTGGCATTAAAATGTCATTTCATACTCATACAAACAAGCTCATATAACGCTCCCTTTTGTTGGAAATGTCGGAGGGGGTAGCGGAGGGAGTAGCGAAATATTAAGTTAATATGTTTGATCTGTTTGGGGCAGGGGCAGACTCCGCTTTGATCCCTTGAAATTTAGCAAAGTGCAGACAGGATATTGGCAGCTGCTTGCAGCCACACGGGATATTAAAGCCATAAAGATGAAATATTTGTGCGCGTTCCATGGCAGCAATCAGGTGTGATCCATATCCATCCGCACCCGAATCCGAATCCGCATCCGAATCCGAGGCTAGACAAATTCTGCCAGCAATGGGGATTATTCAAATTATTTCCCACTTCTCGTACCTGACAGCCCGCCAAAGTCACCTCAGCTCGAAGTCGTCGCCTCCAAGCCCGGCACGTCTATTTGTGTTTGTGCCCCGAATCCTGTGCCCCGCATCGCTGCCTACTCCCCTTCCACTCGAGTGCGACACATGATGCCATGTCATATAATTTATCAGCGCATTTTTGGCATTCAGCTTGCGTCCTGACATTGTCCTGAAAGACCAACAACAGTGCCACCCAAGTGGCACATGGCCAACTCCGTGAAACGCCGGCAACCATATATGGGAAAATACACAGGCAGCAATCGCTGGACTTATCCAGATCTCAAAATTATGTTCAGTTAATGACCCAAACTGTTGCTTTTCCAACTAAACTGGGCTTGGTCCTTTAAGCCGTATGGTTGGCTATGGTTTTTCACATGCAATATCTAACGAGAAAATGCCACCACAGGAACCCTTATTTCTCTCAGTGCCACAGCGGCATCCCTTGAGCTTTGTTTTCGTTTCTCTTCTTTTGCTTCTGCTTTTCATTTTGATAAATATGTGGAGGGCAGAATCTATCATTTCGCGTGTCGCATAAATAAATACATCAAGAGGCGCCTCCCACGCTCACCCTTCCCTCGGTTCAGAGGGCAAAGGGGAATTGCACACAAACTGTTAATCAACGGCAAATGGGGAACCCCCCATCCAGCCCAGCTCCTGTTGTTGCTGCTTTTACTGGGCGTCGGGGAGTTGGCAATTTGTTTAGTCGTTAAACTTTTTTAGCGTTTCGTTATTTAATGCAAATTGATGATAACGGGCAACGCGCTAATGAGTATACGAGTATGTATCCGCTGGATGACGGGTGTAGCAGTGGGGCAGGGATCGTTCGTAACCCATTTCTTGGCGAGACCCTAAATAGAATGTACCAATTTCGGAGCACAGGCGCAGCATAAATATCCAGCATCCTCAAACTCGTTGGCTGTGTATACAAATTTAATGAATGTTCCCGTTTTCGGTGGCCCATAAATAATCAACAAGCGTTCCAGGAACTCGGCACTGCGAACAAAAGTCGACTACCTTGTGGCACAACACACTGAAATGTTTTTGCTGAGCTTGTAGGGATTCCACTGTTTCTACCGCTGCCATGGCTCATCCGCACATTTCTCTCTGTGCTCACACATAAATAACACACACAATTGGCGCATTTGTGGTCGTTGTTTCGTCTTTTCTGGTGCGACACCTTTTATGTGTCCGGGGAGCCCCAGTTTGTTAAATGAAATTCGTTAAAAGTCCTGCCAAAGGAGTGGAAGAGACCCGCAGCCGGCTGCTGGCATTGCCGAGAGCACTTTTCCTACGTTTCGGTTACGTGTGCAGTCAATTCCACTCGGCTGCCCATTGAAAAGTTTTGCACTTGGCTGCACAAAGGACATGGAGTGGTGGCGATGGCAGAGGGCAGCGGGCAGAGGGAAGCCGCCAACATCAAGGCCACCAAAACGGGTTAAAAGTGGGCCTTAGTCGTACGTAGCCGCCGTACTGAAACTAAACTCTAAACATCATAATACAACTGTGACAAAACTCCTCCTCCAACTCCACGCGCGACAATAATTTATGTGCCATGGCTGAAAAACATTGTTGCACAACTTCATGTCCATTTCCGCACTTTTTCCTTGAACTTTGTCGCTTATTGAACGAAAACACATAAGGAAAATATGCACGGCGAACGGAATTACCATGCAACATTGTCGTCGTATCCTTCGATATCTCGAAAAAGCGGAGGGTGTCCCCGTTTCCACGTTTCCCCCACAGACACGAGCCAGTCCATTTCCTTGACTACCGTAAACACTCGATAGCCAAGACCACGTCCATTACAACGGCCGATGATGCGGTGGGGGCTCTCGATTGGATGGGCAGAGATGTGGGCATGGGGAAATGGAGAAATGGGAGAGATGACCACCGGACGGCGGTGATATGACCGCAAAAACCAATACGAATGCCAGGACGATTCGATTTAATGGAAAATCGACCGCAGAAACAGCAACAACTTAAGCGATTCAGAAATTGCAACACACGCTGCCCACCCACTTACCACCGCCCACCACCTCCCCTCGGATGCTCCGCATCTGACACACTTTTGGGACACTTACACACTCTCGACCGGGAATCCGGCGTTACGGGCCACGCAATTAGGGGGCTTAACCACTGGACGACGGGCCTTGAACTGCGCTGTATGCTATATGCTATATGCTGTATGCCATATGCCATCTGCGATCTGCCAACTGCTATCTGCTATCTGCAGCTGAAGTTTGTGGCCGCCCATCGACGATATATTGAAAGTTGAGAGCATTTAGCGAAACCCAAAGCGAGCCGCGCCGCAATTACGCCGGAATCGGTATTCGCATTAATGCGAGGGATGAGCAAGTGTTTAAGCCAATACTTACACTCAAGACTGGTAGAGAGCATGGCATTAATATAATTTCCACTGCATAGGTTACGCACCTTGCCTCAGCTGTAGGGAAAATGTTTGTAAGTCCTAGGCACTTCTTTTCGATCCACCCTCGCCATTAGATGTCCTGACAATCGGGTGAGCCGGGCAGCTGTAATAGCGGAGCGGAAACAAAACTGGTTGGTGGGACCATCAGGGACCAGTGCAGTGGACTTGTCGCCGAGGCCATCGAAAACAGAAGTCCTGCGATTAAGCCAAACGAAAAGAGCACAAACACGAGTCCTGCGCGTTGCCTTTGCTTTGCTGCTTTGCTGCTCGGCGGCTCCTGGTCCTGTGCCTGCAAACCAATTCAAGTGTTCCGTGAAATGAGTCGAAAATTGACATTCGATTTGCAAGACCATTGCACATAGCACTGGCTGTCGCCAGTCTCGAATCGCGAGTTGCGAATCGCGGAATGGGAGGGTGGGCGTGGCGTGGGCGTGGGCGTGGTCGCGGTCGTGCGACGATTAAAGCCCAGTTTTTGCGGTTGGCATACGGCACGAACGGAGCCTTTAAGTCAGCAGACCAGCTGAGAGTATGCAATTAATTCTGCAATTGCATGTGAAGTGCACATAAAACGATGGCATTCGAATTCGCAGTAACATTCCATATGCACATGGGAAACAATTAAGCACCTGACCAGCCCCAGTTCACATTTCCACGAATCCGGCCTGGATACACGGCA